CATACACCGTGCCACGCATACACCACACTTGTCACACCACACAAGACCACACCACCCCCGAAAACCACCGGGCCCATGGTGACAGCAGCAGCAGGACCAGGATACGTCGAAGGGCGGACCAAGCTCACTCACCATGAAGTCTCGCACAACCTCGCTGGTTCTGGGTCGTGTGTCCGGCCCGTTCGGGCGCTCTCGATCTGGACGGGCCATGGAAGTCATCCCAGAGGGCTCACCAAAAAGGCTTGCCATGGGCTCCTTCCCCAAAGGGCACTGCCAAGAAAGAGGTGCACACTAACCGTCCCCAGGTCGCTGGAAGGCACTCCAACACGGTCAACCGCGAGGCCCGGCCCCACCAATCTCCCACAATCCAGTTGTACGAGTGGTTACGCACACAGGGCCAGCTGGGCTGCCTTTCGTGCCGGATAAATGGGATGATCGGCGGTTAACGATTCGTATCCCTAGTCACCAACTTCCGGCTATCGACCAGCCCAATCCAACCAACTAACCAAGAACAAGCACACACATAAACACACACACACACGTACACACACGTACACACACGTACACACACGTACACACACGTACATACGTACACACACATACGCTCTCTCACACACACACACACAAACACCCATACGCACACGCACTCGCACCAGGCTTCACGAAGCATCCTGGAGGCATCTGAATCTGTGCTCCTCTTGCACCAGCCACTCCTGTGATAGTGGCATGGCTCCGTTGTTCCAGGCGCCGTACTGCGAACGAGAAAAAGGGCCATGTGAACAAGTCAAGAAGCTTGAGCTTCGTTTGCTTCAATCACTTCCCCACTCCCTCCCTCTCTCGCTCTTCTGCGCTTTGTTCGCATGCTTCGGTGATGCGAGGTTTGGGGCCTGTGGCCTTAAGACGGGCTTCGTCCGCCTCCACAACAAGCAATGGCTTTCTTGGCCATGCGAGATGCAGCTCGTCTCTACGGTTTACGACGGGATAAGTAATATCAAGCAAGAGTGGGAGATGTGGAACCGAGACCATACTGGCAAAGCACCAGACTAGTTACGCATGAGCCTCCGCCTTTGTTTTGAGAATAGGTTTGTTCACAAAGTTTGGTGAGATCGGCCTAAGAAGTTACGATGCCGCTTCTGAAGCGGTGGCGATTGTGTAGCCACATCTCCATGGCTGCAACACTGCAGCCAGCTGTCGCTGCAGCATAGTGAGCCATCTGCAAAACGACGATGAAGCTGCGCGAAATGCAGCTCTGCTTCTTGCTGATCTGCATGACTGCAGCGAGCAGTCTTCCAGGACCTCATTTCTTCTTGCTCTGGGCGGACCTTTGCCACGGACTCACATGGATTCACATGGACCTATACGGATTTCTGTCGGGCGCATCGGAGACCATCAGGGACCCGTTGGGGGCCGCGCTTGTTGGTCGCGTTCGCTGGCGCCGTGGCTGCCTTGCCCTTTTCAGCCGCCTATGCTCGGGGACAGCATCAAACTGTTCGTTGTCAGCTGACTTGCCATCTTGTGAATCATGCGCCTTGGAGGCCTTGTTGCCATTCTTCTTCGAAGGCTCTTCCTCAAGAGATCGATGACTCATGCAAGCTCGCGAGCCTATACACTTTTTTGGGCTGTTCCATCTGCAGCTCTGTGGCTGTTGAGGACTTCTTCCGAAAACAACGGCATCCGCAGCAACACCTGGAGACAGGATGAATGCAACCCATGACAGGCCATCTACAAAACTCGTCCAGGACGCACGGGGAATCCTGGTCAACGCAGGCAAGGGCTCCTTCATCATGAAGCTGAGCGCTCCACATGCAACAGAGAAGAGCCGAAGATATCCAGAATGCCAAGAGTCCCAACTTCACCAGAGAGTACCTCGCACGCGGCTTGCGACCATGCGAGACGTGGCCCTCTTTCACCGTATCACGGAAGGGTCTGGCTTGCTTGCCGTAAACCAGTCTGCGCACACTGCAGCTGCAATGTAGAGCACAAAAAGGACGAGATTTCCAGGAGTCTCGGCGGTTTGCCAGGACAAGCGGCTGGCTTCAGTACAAGACACATACTGAACGCTTCGTGATTTGACGCAATGCATCGCAACGCCATGCAACGCCCGGACCAAAACAGCTTGAAACACCCTGAGCTCAGGACTCTTGCAATTAGACCTGTATACTTTGGCAGCACCTGGCATCTACTCTTCCCATGTCTGCATGTCTGTTGTGCGTGTTTGCATTCATTGCGACAAGCTCTGGAACTCGTGGCTAACATGGAAGCGAACTTGCTTTGTGTTCGCTTCAATGGTGCATTGTCGAATCACAAACAATGAGTGTGCCCTGCAACTGCAACATCACGACTGCTTTTGATGGGGTTTGGTGGGCAGATTGCCTTGCATGCGTGGGTCTGTTGAACAGTCTGCTCGCGGTTTGTGCTCAAGATGGAGTGTGCAAGCCTGACAGATACTTCCTGGGGCGCCGACGCTCTCAAATGCATCGACGATGAAGTGTGTGTACTGAGTCAGCAGCCTCAGAACAAAGTGGCCTTTGTCATGCTACAGGCTCCTGACTAAGACAGAAGGCCCTTTTTCCTTGGCACGAATGTGCACAGCATATGTTGAGCCCTTCTTCACACCAGTCTTGATCTCGTCAGCATCTTAGACGGGCTGAGACGTGTGGAACGATATGGAGCGATCAGTCGGGTGCGTGGGCATCTGAGAAAATTCGCCTTGAGGCGTAGCTAGCAGAGGAAAGGGCCTCGCGCTCTGCTATGATTTACGTATGCCGACGCATGCCTTGTGCAGTCCGTATTTGGTTGTGAACGCGCTTCATGGCGAGGCCCGAGAATTGAAACATTTATCTACTATACAGCGGAGACCACGGCCTTCTCACGGTTCCGCTTGGCAACACTCTAGCGCCAGGCCTGGTGCCTCGACTCACATGCCCTCCCTGATCTTGGCCTCAAGAACATCTAACGTCATATAGCAGAGGCACTTTCGAGTGTAAAACCCCAACATTCGCAAGTCTAACTGCGTTGTTTCAAGGCACTGCAACACGAAATGGCGTTGCTGGACTGAGCAACAGGCTCCCAACTTCTGCATGAGCCTGTCCCCCACCACCTGCCAACAGCTACTCAGAGTGCCGTGTCCTGTGTCCAGTTCCGGACATTTTCCCTTTGCGCTCTTGGGCAGGCAGACTTCGAAGACTACCCTTCGCAGTGCTTTCGCTTGATCTCTTTTGCTTGGGCTTGCGATGGTGAGCTGCTCCCCGCGCTTGGAGAAGTCGTCCTCCTGTCGGACGTCCGTCCATAAACCCATTCGTGGTAGTTCGATCCTCCCATCAGCTGTCGAGGAAAAGCCTTCAACTGGATCCAACTCGTTTTTGGATTTCTGGCAGCTTTCTGCATCAACCTCGCGCTTTCCTGTCCTTGGCCTGGCCTGCCTCGCCCTCTCTAGTCGTAAGGTGGCATAGCTTCAGCGGGGTTCCGCCGGAACGATCCTGCATATGTGATCCTCTGCCCTACATCACCTGGTTTGGAATAACATCTCCCCCAGTACATGCAGTGAGGACAGAAGTCGCCACACACACTTTCATGCGAGTATCGCTTTGTACGCATGGTGGCCACACGGGTGGAAGCATGTATTTAAGCCTACCAGGTCCCCGTCGATAAACACATGCGACATCATGCGACATTATACCACAAGATGCCACAGCTTAAGCTCCCCCCCCCTCCACCCCCCCCGCCCCCAGTACCATCAGCGGCCGAACACCAAACATGTCTCAGTCACTCTGCTCTCCTGCAACTCTCACTGTCGCACGGAAAATGCAATTTTGCGGACAGAAGGTGTGATCGCATACAAGTTGGTGAGACTGTGCTTCGCAAGAGTGAAATATTGTGAGACCGTGGCGAGCTTGAAAGAATTGAACTGCCATCCCAATCATTCTGACTGCGTTAGGATTTGCCATGGCACTGAAGCCACATGCATCACTTGAAGTCAGGGCATGCCGAGTGCCTGCACGCATAGTTGTAAGCAAGAACTTGAATGTCGACACCATTGATTGCAGTAGGAACGTGCCCAACCGGGCCACTTAGAAATACAGCATCCCGGCTCAGAGTATACCATAGTCTAATTGTAGACTGTGGAGTCCTTCGGCTCCTCAAGATGGAATGACATGTGCTGCAAAGCCATACCCCTCGCCAACTACCTGGGCCAACTGTGGCCCTGCGAAGGCCTCAGAAGAATATTGCAAAAATCCCATAATCGGACTCTGACTGTGTTTCTGCGGCACAGTGGCCGTGCTCCTTTGACAGGAGTCGGGAGAAAAACAACCTTGCATCGAGCTTACGTGAGGACACAGGGGACCAGGGGGACCGTTTGCAAAAATCCCATCTTCGGACTCTGAGTAAACCGCCTCCCCTCCCCTCTCCACATGAGGCACTGGACATTGTAAGCTGCCCTCCTGCCTCGCTTTACAATAGGAAGCGGGCAGGAGGGTGGGTGTTGGCGGGGATGAGGTAATGCAAGCGTGCAGCACAGAGCGACGCGCCTTACCATCATCGTTGCATGATGCAATGAAGTTGCTGAACCAATGCGGGATAGCCTCACAATCTTTCGAAGCTGTTACGGTTTGGCATGCACGCTTCGACAAAGCCCAAATGGGCACATCCAAACAACTCTGTCAGATAAACATGGCTTGCTCTGCCGTCTTGCCTTTCTATCTAAGAAGCGACAGCAGGAGGCTTGACACCTACATATGTAGAATTAAATGAACAAAAAATATCAAATGAATAAGTAGATGTATATATGTATATATATATGCAGTTATTTACTGACCGAGACCAATCAATGAAGGCAATGGCTTTGCAAGATCTACAAGAACTTGAGACCGAGGACCTCGAACTCGACATTGAAAGCAAGGAGATTTTGCACGACTGAAGGCTTGCACCATTAAAAAAATTGGCGGGCATGAGTCGGCATGAACACACTCCGTGCCGATGTGGGCAGACATGAGCATTCGCGGCATCGTGAAGCATAGTGTTTTACATAAGCACTCGGAAGTGGTGGTGGACGGTTCAGGAACCAGGGAGCCATGCGGGAGTCACGAAAATTGGCTCACCCTAAAATATACTAACCGAGGGTCTGCAAGCATGCCGTCCCGAAACCCTACAACCTCAAAGCTCAAACATTCAAACCCCAAACCCCCATGACATCCAAAACCCTCAACCCTGAGAAACGGTTTCAAGTCGCACTACAGCGAGAAGACTGCATCATGAAAAGTTGTGTGCAAACCCCATGTCAGGTTCACGGGCCCGCATGCTGTGTTCATGTGGCACAGTGGCCGTGCCCTTTGAAAGGAGTCGGGAGAGAAAAAAAACGTAGCATCGAGCTTGCGTGAGGCCACCGGGGACTAGCGGGACCGTGGAGACAAAGTTCCAACGGGCGATAGATGAGGCAAGAACCGACTTTTTTTGTTTGGAGTTGACTTGGAGCCACGCACCTCAAAAAGCGCTGAAAACAATTTTGGGGAAACTACCATACCCTGACCCTGAAGCAAGAAACGTGTCACATAGCTCTCAAGAGCGAAGTGGCTCGGGTAGCCGGCAAGGTCGGCGACTTCCGGGAGAGCCTCGATGGAATCGATGCACGTGTTCTGCTCCAAGCGCTGCTCCAGTCCCACAAGGAGTCTGCAGCCCTGGATCACTTCATTCATCAACTCCACTTCGGACACTCCAAGGCTGCTTAAACTGTGGACCTGCCACAAATTGCCGGAGATGGCGGAGCTGCTGGAGTCGCAGCGTAAATGCAAGCGTTCGCAGAGCGCCGGAAGATCGACGGCCTTCGCCAGCAATGGGATCCGCAACGTGAGTGTCACCCGCAAGGCCGCCCCGACACGTGAGGGGCACGTTGTCAGCCACCCAAGCTTGGAAGCTGCGAATTCTTGTTTCGCAGAGGCGGCTGCCTCCGCAACTGAAGACACGGCTCTTGCCAAGCGCTCGTAAAGCTCTTTGAGCTCCGAGCCCTCCTGCCGAGCGAAGAACCGGTAATGGTCTTCCTCATTGCACCAAATGAAGACCCCCGGGGCATCGCAAACGAAAACCCCGCGTGCATCGGGCCAGTGCCGTCCGAAGCCTGCAGCCAGCTTCAACTTGGAGTCGGGCTCCGTCAACAACATGCCAACCTTCCGCAGCCGTTCCTCCTGATATGCTGCCATTCCTTTGCCGCTCTTGGAGCCACGTAATGGGAGGTATGTGCCACGTAAGCGGGCGGAGGACAAGAGCCTCTCAACCTCCCGGCGCTCCTCCCTCGAGCAGCAAACAGGCATGCGAATTCCTGCGACATTCCGGCGTGCCTCCAAGACTGTGTAAACAACGTAGCTGCCAGTTGGGTCTATTTGGGCACCTGAGATCTTGGAGACATCCCCATCCGAAGGCTGGGGTGCGCCGTTGCAAATGGTGCCGCAGCTGAGAGCAGCAACAAGAGGGTCGAAGAATTGCTGGAACAAGCTGTAACATTCCGCGTCCCCAGCAAATGCGCCAGCCACTTTGACCATCGGATGGCCTGGGCAGTCTACTGCAGGCTTGATGCACTGCGCCAACGACACACCGGTGGACGTGCGGAGGTTGGCAAGTTGCTCGAGCTCGGGCTGTGCCTGCAACACTTCCGTGGCAATGCTGTTGTGCTTGGAGATATCTGGTAATGGAAAGGCTGCGAACCCTGGCAGGGCATCCTCTCCCAAGCCAGGTTCCGAGGAGAAGTCAATGTCATTCTGCAGCTCAGCATGATCTGCTTCTTCCTGTTTCTGCTCTATGAAATCGGCAAGAAAACCTAGATAATCCTCCGGCTTGCGCTCGAGGAGCTGAGTGAACATCTCCTGTGACTGGGGCTTCCGCCATGTGCTGACAACTGGCTTACTGACCGCTACAGTACTTACATGTCGGTGTCTGAAAGCAGCATGCCGCTTGCACTTCTCCGCACCTGTAGAAACTGCTGCACTCCACTCTGCTCCATGTACTGCTTCGCGCGCTCCGCGGCATTTCGACCACGGGAAATTCCTGGCTTCTCCTGCCAACGCCACGATTTGGGGGGGTTTCTGCTGCTGCCTGCTGCTCTCCCTCTGCCTGCACTTTGGCCGACAAATCCCGAAAACATGACAGCTGAGGAGGGCTGGTGTGACCAACATGACCAACTTTGCTGGCCGAGTGGTGCGTTGTAATTTGTGGATTGGGAGGCTATGCGAGGCCGATTCCGGCCGATTTTTGCGTATGTGGGTTGTATGACGTGCGGCTTTAGTTCGCTGAGGCCCCCAGGCTTGGCTCAGCTCCCGACTCGAGAACACCCTACCCGGACCTGATGTAAAGGATCCCCTTCACTCGCAGCATGGAGAAGTGCCAGAAAGGTGGGATTTCGGGTTTCGGTCCACAGGGTTTCAGGGTTAGGGCCTTTATGGATTTAAGGTTCCAATCTTGCGCGGCTTGGTCGGAATTAGGGCTCTACGGGTCTGCAGGGCTTGCGCTTTCTTGGCATTTTCGGGCTTTCGGGCTTGAATATTTTTAGGGCTTCTGCGGAAATTAGGGCTTCGGCACTTTCACGGTGCCAACCTTGGCCACCGAAAGAGCTAGTCACTGCTACGGGGCGCTTCTTCCCTTCGCCGCTTAGGGACCCGTTCAGGGACCTTTTCGGGACGCCCATGAGAGAGCGGGGGGAATCCTAACCCGGCTATGTCCTACAGCAGAGGCGACCAAGGTGGCACGCGTTTTGAGACCTATCAGCTTTCCAGCTACGAGCCAGCTCCCTAACATCAATGCAATAAGCCACAACAGATCATTTGACTCTGGGGCATTGTGAGGCACATGCTTTCTGAGCATCTTCTTAGCATCTCCGACGTGGGAGTGGTACAGAGTCTAGTCGCCAAGCTGCTTTGTTTGGTGGTTTTTTGTTAAGCAGGATGCTCCTCCTGGTCAAAAGACCGTAGAGAAGCTTCAAAGGATGCTTTCAGCGGCGCACAGCCAATGTCCAGAGTTTCAATCCTGGAATCTGATCTAAGCAAATCCGAGCATGCCTACCATACACATAAAGAGGCAGCAAGAGGCATAGGAAACAAATACTAGGTTGCTAGGCAAGGCTCTCCACGTTGGTCAAGCTTCCACCAAGTGCAGAGATGCCTGCCAAGCTCACCTGTGAGGATGCCACCTGCTTTAGTCAAGTCATGGCCGGTCCGGGTGCAACGGCTCACTTCAATTCAATTCAGATTCAAACTCATTTTGGATTCAATTCACACTCAAAATTCAAATTCAATTTCATGTCAGTTCGAACATCAATATGCGGCAGACCGGCCGCCGACCTTCTGGAAGACATCCACCGTGAAGGCTTTTGGCTGCTTTGCCCCATTTGGCGCAAACGCGAAGGTCTCTCCAGCACGGAATGGTGCCTGCAAGGCTGTTCGGCAAATGCTCGTGGGTGGAAGCTGTTTGCGATTTCTGACCTTTCCTAGGGTCCTAGGCCTTTCCGAGCCACGCCCCTTGCATGCATTCCCTCCCCTGAGACAAGGCAAGCCCCTTTCTGCGTGGTTGTCTTGTGTGTGGTTCGCTTCGAATACCTTGTAATCACAAACGACTCTGGAAAACTCGTTGTGAGCTTGCGTCTGGCACTCACCTGGCGTACCTGATGTCGGGATCTTGTGTCTTCCTCTCCTGCGTGCCTTTGACCCCCGGTGTCTTGCCTTTCTTTCTTTCATTGTGCGAGGGCCGAACCTCGGGGCTCGTCTACCCGTGCTCTTCTTCTTCTTCTTCTTCTTCTTCTTCTTCTTCTTCTTCTTCTTCTTCTTCTTCTTCTTCTTCTTCTTCTTCTTCTTCTTCTTCTTCTCCTCGTGCTCTCTCACTCTCTCTCTCGCTCTCTCTGCATGCTTTGCCCGCCCCGAAAGGGGAACTGCCCCGAGGGACGCACAAGTCCAAGGTCCAGTCTGCGACCCGCTATCTCTCTCTCTCTCTCTCTCTCTCTTTCTTTGGGGCATGGAGCAGGCTCCGCGCTGACGCGCGCCCCAGTCTGCTTGTCAACGCGCGACTATCACGCGCCAATTCCCGCTCCTCCACGAAGTGTAGGGGAAAAAAGTGCAATTCTGAGGGCCGCTACTGGGTTACCCCAGGTCTACCGATTTACGTGAACTGTTCTTTTGGTAGCTGGGGAAGGTAGGACAAAGTTCCCCCACTACGGGCCGGGAATGGTGTTCGAAAATGCGAACTCCCCGCACTACAGGTTGGCAGTGTAGGGGAAGGTGGTAGGGGAAGGTGAGGGTTCTTACTCGAGAGGATTGGTCCAGCGGTTTCGCCTGGACAGGTTGTGATCGGTAAAGGGCGCCTATTCATGTCCTTCCTTTCCCCCCAACGACCGACCATCCACCCAAATCCACGAACCACACCCAGAAACCCACGAGGGAGGAAAGGAAATCTCTCTCTCTCTCTCTCCCTCGGTCTGCTTCTGTCTCTGCCGTAAGTCCTGTGAGTCACTCATTGGTTCATGAAGGTGTTGAAAACTCTGTCACTTCATCACTCCTCACAACGGAGGTGTTGAAGCGGCATTTAATGGATTTCATGCATGTCGTTCCCAAAAAGTTCCCAACATTAACACTCAGGCACCCAAGGCAGTCTCATGGAGAAACTCGTCCAAGCGCAGGAGTATGCTCATACGACCCAACCCTTTGTGGATCGAGAACATACAGTTCAGTGATCGGAAGCCTCCTGACCATGACCCCCAAAATCCCCAAAAACCAACAGCCCTGGCCGTAGGCAGCCCTTCAGTGACACATGTCAGCATGCCTGCTTTCGGGTGTCCCCGTATCTCAGCGACAAGAAGGTGTTGGCCTCAGACACTGATGACCACATGCTGCAAATCTGTGTATGCCCGCGCACTGAAAAGCATGTGCACCTGTCGTTCTGTCGTTTAGAAGGATGACCTGACATATCTTGACATGGTCTCTTTGTTCTGAGAACACTGCCGGGAGGTCATCTACCTCCAGCACCTGACTTCGCAAGCTTGTATTGTAAAGGGGTCGTCATTCTTATCAAACTGTACGTTTGTCAACTAAATGTAGTGTGGACATTCAATTGCGCAAGCAGCTTCCAACGCTGCACCCTTTTCTGCGAGTCCGTATCTTCCACCAAGTGAGGCCGGCATGCTCCATGAAGAAAACACAAAACAATTGAGGAGAGCACTTTGATGTCCATGGCGGGTCACAGAAAGACTAGCGTAATCTAGCGTATGTGTCTGCCCGGCTAACATGTCCTTGGTCGTGTTCATTCTGCAGAATCACTGCTGACGTGATCTTCTTTGTTCTTGCTTCTTGCTGTTTATATGCCTAAGATGGCAACACATGTGTGCTCAGCCTGCACAGTCCGAGCCGAAGTGTATTCCAGGTCCAAAAATGCATCAGGAATCCTGTCATATTCTGCCCTGACGCCGACAACGCCTCATTCCACCTCACTGCCTAAATAAGCCCTGCGAGCGCACTGAGCGCATCCGAGCAAGACATTGCCCAGTGGTTCAGCGACACGCCTCATCATCTTCATCCATTCTTCCTCGGAACCTTGCCGCAGCGAATTACCAGATGCTTTGTCAGACATGAAAAGGATAGGAACCGAACTGGAACCACGAACGGGACACGAATCCTGCGGACCTGCGGAACTGCTGGGACGGCGAGGTTGCTTTAGGATGTTTTTGGGAACCGCGAACCGGAACCTCAGAAACCGAACTGAAAAACGATTCCAATAAACAATTAAATAATATGTGGACTCTACGGTAGCGTAGCCCCACTCCCCTGCGAGTGTGGCTTTTAGAGGTTTCAGGCCCCAAGTGTGCAGATTTCTTGCTCCCCTGCGTGCCCGCTCCAAGACCCCCAACAGCTCGAAAGGGGCGCTTTGCATCGTTTTGCTTTGGGAACGGGACTGCGTTCTCGGACTGCGCTCTCGCCCCTGCGGTGCGGTTTGGTCCCTGGAGGTTTCAAGCCGCAAAGATCCCCAAAGCTACCGAATTGCGTACTGCTCCGAGAGAGGCTTTCCAAAGCTATGCCGATGACCTCAAGAATGTGTCGGCCAGCACGCCAGCTGACCAACTGCTGTCAAGGGCGACGTAGTTGGACGTTCGGTTCATGCATGATGCAGGTCACAGGCCTGCCGCTAGTATTATGCATATAGAAGTTGGAGTGGCCTGCCTTCCGCGGACCTCCTAATCAAACATATAATCTGGCAACCCGCAGTGCCTAACTTCGCAGCTACGGGGGGGGGGGGGGGACCCTTCTGGCACGACTGGGCTGCCGGTATCCAAAGGGAAGGAATGGGAAGGAGGGAGACTCTGTCAATGCCGTGCTGCCGAACTGTTCTGTGCACGCTCATCGCCCAATTTGCATGACCCGCAGGTGGGACTTGAGGCGAAGCCGATCATGTACCAACAGGCTGAACCGACCTGACCCGAACAAGAAGATGGAGGGAGGTAGCACCAGAACTTTCGCGACATCACAATGGACAAGAAACAAGCCATGTAGGGCAGATATCGCAAGAAACAAACCATGTAACGTAGAGTTTCTGGTGACCACGAGACCGACCATTCCTTGTAGGAGAGACGCGCGCAGATAACACGAGACGGTTGTCGACCCTCGGCAGCCGCGTAGGTTAACGATGTTTCACCCAAAGCTCCCTAGTGACGTAGTGCAAGAAGCCGTTCCAAGAGCTGCCTGGTTTACGAACCGTCCGGAGGTTGAACAACCGGAACTGTGTGCACCGAACCGTAGGTTTAAGCACGGAAACCTAACCGAGCCGTTACATTTTTATGCATGCCTCGAAGCGTTCAACCAGATAAATCCAAGAGGCGTCGAGACAGACGACTGCTGCTCAAATTTCTCCATGTCGGCTTTGACAATGGAATCCAGCTGGCCCTCGTGAAGAAACGTGTTTGTTCAGACTTCATAGGAACAAGACACGGGAGCTGCCTGGCTCATGAGGGCAACCTTCTGGAAGTCTTCCTTTGTCTCTGGCCTGACCTGTTCTTCGCACTCGTGGCACAGTGCGAGCTGACTGGGCTACGTAGGAAGTACGTAGGATATGTTAAGATGTCTGCTGTACCACACTCTTGCATACTCTTGCTGCAGGTTTGCTCGCATGGCCTTGAAGTCAGGGGCACTCTTGCCATTGATAAGCCAGCCAGACTCCTGGAAGTCATGTGCCGGTGCTCAAGGATCCGAGCAACTCCACTGAAGTGTGTATGCAAGACATTGCAAGATCACGAAATACAGTAGGAGAAAGCCCTGCCGATTCTGCACATGTGCTGCATTTACCTGCTCTGCTCCAGTGCATGTTAAGTTCCTTTTACTGCACGTTGCAAGCAGCGAACAGTCTGCATGTGTACCTTCTTGATGCCGATCGAGCCATCACAAGATGCCTCCCAAGGCGCACAAGGTTTTCGTGGTGCTTCGGACGCAAGCATGCAACATATGCAACATGATAAATGCCACAAACAGGCGGCTGACACTCACTGTGTCAACGATAACTGGCAACAGAATGATGCTGAGGGAAGGATTGCAACATTAGAGCACAGAAGTCGAGATTGCAGCAGAAGCTAACTTCAGGTGGAGATAAAGCAAAAATCTTGGTTAATTGGACTAAAACCTACTTCATTGGCGGTCAATTCCGATGCACTTCTTCGTTGGATGGCAAACCTTCGAGTTCGTGCATTCCTGAAGATAGCATGGTGCCTTTGCCACCGTGTCTATTTGGAACTCACCGCAGTCGTTGCTCATCAGGAACAGCCTCGTAGATGCGTCCCTGCTCGAAAGTGACGCCGGGTGAGCACAACTCCGGGGTCCCCGGCTGCTCACCATCCTTCTTGTAGACTGGCCTTGGCACTTCACACTTCACCACCCTTGAATGCATGGTCCGTACCGTCTTGCTTTGAAGTGCCAAACAAGCCTCGCTTGAACGAATCTCTAAAAAACACACACGGACACAATCTCGACCAATCATCGTGGCTCGTAGCATCGTAAGACAGAAAAGCTTGGAGCTGGTCTTTCCGGCAATCTTCTTCCCGAATACAATTGACCAGCGGCCTGCGGTGCCAGTCGGATTCACGAACAGGTCACCCTTCTCGTTTGCGCAGAATGGAGGTAACGTGAGATGACTGGAGTCTGTATTAGTGTATTGCGACGTACTGAATGAAAATGTCATTGCGCGCAATCGTGTCCTAGCACCAGGGCGGAGCACAATCGTAAGAGGTTCCGATGCGGACTGAGGCTTAGTGCTCTCAGCCTTGGGTAACCACCATCTCTTAAGGGGGGTTTAAGGTTCCACACCAATCCTTGCACGAGAAATCAGGCTGAACATTGGTCAGGCTGAACAACATAGGCTTTGGGCTGTTCAGGCTTCAGGAGTTGATTGTCGCGCATCCTGCCCGTCGTAGCCCGGCAATCTAGAAGTTGTTTGTGGCGTACTCGATGGGATGGCTGCATGCCAAGGGCACTTGTGGTGCTGAACAATTCTGCAAAATTCTCACTCTCAACCCTGAGAACAACCTCGACTCCGTGTAGACAAGCACCTGCAACGAGCTTGGCCGAGGCGGTCACACAGCGTTTACAACTCTGCATGTCACTTTGCCCCCCCCCCCGGCCGTTGAGAGGCGGTACTTTGGACGCAAAGCCATCGGCCAGCAAGTTTTCAGGCCTCAGACCCCGAGGCTTTTTGTCGCCCCATCTGCACAGTGCATTTTGCCTGTGCCCGGGACTTGGCTGCAAGATGTTCGAGCCGAGTAGCGGGCGCTCCTTCTTCTTCTTCGGAGCTTCCTCTGCCCAAGATGGCTCCGAAAGCAGCCCAGCGCCAACTGCCCAAGCGAAGCCGCGACGGGATTGCACAGGCTTTTGGTGCGTCTCCGTCATCAAGAAGGCAGGGCGTCTGACGCAAGTCAGGACTTGTCTTGTGCAACTGCTGCAAAGGCTGTGGTCTGCTCTGCAACTCTTTGAGCAGATGACAGAATCTAGTCAACATATGCTTCATTTACCATCTACCATCACATGTTGAGTAGAGACAGGCTTTGAAAGCCACGCGTCCTCACAATGTATGCATTGAAGGCCAGTCCACTCAGCAAAGCAGCCCACAGCACTCCGCCCCTGCGATGTGCAGCCATGGCTCTGCTAGCACAGAGTCTGTTGCTTGACAGCCAAACTTGCCAACACAAGATCAACACAAGCATGCAAACGATGGCAGGACACGCGCTGACATGAGCGTCTCACTTCAAGGATGGCCTAGGAACTATTCTCGGGAGCGAGATCACCGGTGCATGATCTTGAGGCCAGGGGGGTAGTATTGACTCGGCCGGCTAAGAATGGAACAGCTCCATCTCAGTCATCCTGAGCTTCGCAGTCTCCCACATCCGCAGGGCGTAGTCCTGTTGGAAATTGTTTCGAGATGTTTCGAGCAAACTTTGTTTTGCTGGCTGTGATGCTGTGAGACATCATGCCACGCTGGGCATCATTATCAAGTTCGTCCTGTGAAGTCCTGGTTGCATCTTTGACCTGCGGCTCTTGCGAAAGCCATGCTGCCCAGCCGATTTCCCATACGGTACTCAGGTCCCGACCTGCTTGGCATCGCACTGGAGCGTCTTGCACGCTTCCTCGTCACACTTGGCTGTGGCTCTAAATAGGGGTATGTCGCGGTGTCCCGACCCCTGCCTGTGTTACATACGTATGTCGCACCCACTTGTTTCATGCGCATGTCGCGGGGTTTGTCGCGGCTGTTTCGCGCGCTGTCTAGATGCCTGCGTGCCGAAGGTTCCAGTTCCAAGAAGGGGTTTGTGCAAAGGCTTGTCGCGGAGGCTTGTCGCAAGCAGAACGGCGTTGTTACAAACCCTATATCGCGGAAAGACGCCCGGGAGCCAGTTACATACCTAGACCGCGCCCACTTGCACGTGACAGGCTCAACCTGAACCGAAGGTATCACAAGGTGTTCTCCAGCCATGCCTACAGGGACGGAGGTCTGCAGTGTCTAGAGTCTAGGAAGCACGGCGGGCTTGTCTTGTGGCTTGTGAATAAGAGGTCTGCCTGTACCACACTCAGTTACCCCATGCTGCTAATCGCCCTACGCCGTCCTACCCCCGTGCTACGCCTCTGATCCCTTTGGAGAGTTGGGAGTGTCGACTGCCGGGAGCCGAACGACAACAGGATCTGCTGGCAAAATCTCTGCAACGCTGGCAGAAAGCGTTGCTGAATGCCTTGAGTCGGAAACGTCATGAAAGATAGTCACTCGTCATCTAAGTCTGCTAGAAGTCAGGGCCAACCTTGGCTTCTACCGAGCCCAAGACTTGTCGATATGCGCCTTCAAAAACCTGCTGTGCAAGGAGTCCTTGACAGAACAACCAAAGGCTAGCAAGCAATATGCTGCAAAGTGCTACAGCTGACCACAGATGTAAAAGTGCCCAGCATACACGTCGTAGAAGAGCTCTGCAGTCTCATGGAAAATGTCAGTCGAGAGGATCGGTCTTCGTGGAGGTGCCTGTGCACTCGGTCAGGTTTGCGAAACTGTGACGGAACAACGGGTAACATTCCATAAACCTTCCAGGCTTTGTCAAAGCCCCAAGATATCATTTAAATGAACCAGAAAGCCTGTCACGGCATGTCAGGTCGTGCTGGGGAACTGCCTTCTGCTCAGCAGTTGCGGGTGCCTCTTCTTGTGCTGCCACCTTGGTAACAGCACGAACCAGCGATGCCCTTGCTGCACAAAGTCTCAACTACAGAAAGAACACCAGCAGCAAGGCCCGCGCAGCTATGATTGCCAGTGGCAGTAGGCGCATCTTTGTCCTGCATGGAGAGACCGGGGAGTGCGAGTTGCAGGCGGAACGAGTAGTTCCTTGTTTCTGCTGTGGTGTCACTCCTGTGCTCTTGGATCCCTCCAACGATGGCCGTGCATGAATGGCGCTTTATTGTGTAGGGGGTGGGTGTGGGTGGGTGTGGGTGGGGGTGGGTGGGTGGGGGTGGGGGTGGGAGTGCAAGGCCATCATGTACAGTAGCACTGCACCTCGGAGTGTCTGGAGCAAGTATGGCGTCGCTGGTGCAAAGCGTGTGGAGCAAGTATGGCGTCGCTGGTGCAAAGCGTGGGGGACACAGGCGTCCGTGAGGAAGGCAAAGACAGAGAGCATCTGCTGGCGACACGATGCCGGCCCAGCTTCGACTCAGCATCGTCCTCGGCGTCATCGCAGCAAGAGAGTTCTACCAGGAGGTGGCTAAGGTATGCCTGGTATGCTTGATTCTGCTTGTATGCTTAAGGCTTGAGGTGTCGAAGTTCTTCAGGCTGATGCGACGGCTGGACGATGCTCCAGGGAACGGGCGCTGGTGGACTCGCAAGACACTGCATCGAGGCGCAGAGGATGAGACTTGGCTTCGCACTCGATTCTGGATGATGGCGAAGCCTTTTTGCACCAGACTCCGAGTAGAACCTTGCTCACCGTCAGAGCTACGGCTCAAATCGTGGCGATGGCCTCATGGAAATCGGATGCCGAGTTACCTGATCCCAGAATCACCCCTCCTCGTCGAGTTGAAATACCAGTGGTGGTGAACGGGTGTCTGGAGGCGGAGAGAGGCTTGGAAGTTCAGCTGATTGCGAAGGCTGAATGTGTGCGCTGCGAAGCCAGATGGAAAGAAGTTGCCGTGGAATTCATGAAACCGCCGTGGTTTGAAGGAAGCGCAAATGGTGGCATCTCCTCTGTGGGAAAGCCAGCATAAGCTAGTGGCTAGTGCCTACTGCAAAAAGAGACAAGAAGGAAGAGGCGGTCATCTTAGTGACCCAATGGGAAGCTGTCATGGCTGATGACACCTATGCGGCATTGGATGTGGCCTTGTCCGGAAAACTGAAGCTGATCCTTGGCGGGCTTCCATGTCGTACCTTCTCCTCGTTGAGGTACTGGTAGCTGTCCGATGTGGACGGAGGACTTCGACCGTGAGGAGATCGCTATGGGAATCGATTCTATGCTCTGGCGAAGATTGTTCGGGTCTTTTGTTTCGTACTGTGTATGGACCCCTGGTCACTAAATAGGTGGCATTGGAACAGGTTGATCTGGATGCGCAAGATGGGTCGGGCATTCCTGGCATCCGGCGACTTCTGCATGAAACCCTGCGAGGAGCTTTTCTTGGCGAGCAGCTTGCAGAAGGAACGTTTGAGGCGCAATATGTTTTCATCAGGCAAGGTGATTCGTGATTTCTGGGTGTCATGAAGGCCTTCTGGGACTTGTCAAATAACGGTCTAACCTATGGAAGGCCGGACCTTGCAAATCGGGAACGGAGCCGCTGTGACCTGCAGAGCTGCGAGATCGTCTTTCAAAGACCGCCGGGGTTACAAAGGGGGAGGTAAGGATGGAAAGGCGACACGACCCAGCAACTGGAGAAGTCTTGGAGGACGAAAAAGGACAGAAAAGGCCCTCTATGAGTCAACTTTGCCCAAAGAGCTGCTGGGAGGATCGAGAATCTCAGGCTCTGAAAGTAAATTCGGTCGG